GGAAAAAGAAAACCTAAACATGAACATGAATATACAGATCGAGAAATAAAATAACAAGCAATAAGATCGAACACAGATGGCGAAACAAAAATTAGAACGAGTGGACCGAGAAATTAAAATAACAAGCTTTTGTTAATCGGTTCAATGGTTTACCCGGATAGTAAAACCGATGGTTGCTCTGCTTTTGGTAAAACTTTCAAGCCCAAGTTTCCTCGTCCCACTATTCTCCTCCTCGATCGTGGAGGTAACAAAAATCAAAACATTTTAAAAGTTATAAATCTCTGTCTTTTCATTTGCTGCGTCTTATGGTTAGTGCTGATAAATTATATTTGAGCTGAAAGAGTTAATTTTTTTATTGGAAAGATTTAAACTTTGAACTCTGAAGTTCCCTTTGCGATTCCTTATGTTTATTGTATAATCCTAAATTCATAGGACTGGAACTAAGGTCATGTGTTGATGTTTTGTCTCATTAATGGATGTTTCAGAATTCTGGAAAAAAAAACCCTAAATATGCGAGAGAGGAAAAACAATAAAAGAGAGACTTACCTAGAGATGCAATGGAATAATTGATAAGAAGAAGAACGCCTTCGTCTTTGTGGGTAAATAAGAACATCAAGAAGTATGTCAAAGTGATTAAGAACATTTTAAATTCCACAAAGTTTGCACTACACCAAAGAAAGTCCAAACACTTTTGGAATAGCCATGAGTGATATCAAGGTGTGTGACTAATGTAAACATAAATACTACTAGTACATGCTTTGTTGTTGGATTGTTAGCGATGGATATATCTCGTTAATCAATCTGTAGCTAATGAAATATGAAACCGATGATAACTATGATTTTTTCTATGACAAATTTGTTATAGCCATGAATTTTAAAATGTCTTTATATAAAAATTCGTATTTTTTTTTAATAACAAACTACTCATACTGTTAATATTTCGTTATTCAAAGTACTCACATTTTCAATAGTTTGTAATTCAATGTTTGCTGAATCTAATGGTTTTCTGGGACACTAAAACATATGTTCTTTTTAATAACAAACTACTCTTTTTGATTAAAAAAAATTACTCATTTATTAAAAAAATTAATAAGAAACTTTTCATTTTGTAACATTTTGTAGTAACCAAAATGGCAAAATGCATTTTTTTATATTTCAACTTAGGTAATGTATCTTATTTTATTTGTTTGATATATAAAAGATATAAAATCCTGGATCTTTGTCTTTTGTTCTCCTACCGAAGATCTTCAGAATCTTATCGAGGTGAAGAAATATTTCGACAGAAGAAGATGATCTACTTCTCCCATAATGGAACTCTGTTAACATCAATTTCTGTTCTTGAACCGGTGTCACCTGGGTTATTTCGTATTGTTGGTCTAAACCTCTCCGGTTAGGACTAACCGGTTCGATTTCTCCTACGTTTGGCCGGTTTGACAACTTAATTCACCTGGATCTATCTTCCAACAATCTTGCGGGTCCCATCCCAACCTTTCTTTCTTGGAGTCTCTGTTTCTCTTTTCTAACCAACTCACCGGCGAGATTCCGAGTCAACTCGGCTTGCTTGTCAACCTACGCTCGCTCAGGATCGGAGACAACGAGCTCTTCGGAACCATCCCGGAGGAATTAGGGAATCTGGTCAATCTCCCGTGCAGACTCACCGGTCCCATACCGATTAAACTCGGTAGACTCGTCCGAGGTCAATCATTGATACTGCGAGATAACAATCTCGAAGGACTGTTTCCGGCGGAGCAATTGGTTCTATCTGAAACTCAGCTTTCATATGAAACTCATATGGAAATTAGCAAATGTCGAACAATTCGCTCGTTGGTTTAATCCCCGAGGCATTATTCCAGCTAGTCGACCTCACGGATCTCTATCTACATAACAATACCTTGGAGGGTAAGTTGTCTCCTTCGATAGCAGACCTTACCAATCATCAATGGCTTGTGTTGTATCTCAATAGCTTAGAAGGCAAGTTACCGAAGGAGATCACCTCGTTGAAGAAACTAGATGTTCCGTTTCTCTCTGAGAATGGTATTTGAGTTGTATTTTCGATGAAGTTGAACTTTCAGGCTTGTAGAGAAACCGTGTTAAACCATAGCATCCCATATCTCCGCACCTCAGAAGAATCTTGCTGGGAAACTCTCCCAAATTCCAAATGATGAAGCTTTTGTTGCTTCTGCCCCACGAGATTATTGAATCCGATGAAGGATCATCCACAGCTGTATACACTCACGTAGAACAGCCTAGGAAATTCTGTATCCATCGCTAATTTGAACAATTCTCAAACAAAACCCTAAAAAAATCACTCTTCGAATACAAGGCAACGCGATGACAGAAACAAACCCTATGAGGAAATCCCCAAACTTCACCTGATTTTGGGCTTTTAGTGGGCCTTTTCACTTTGTTTTCTAATAGACTCTAGGCTCTACAAAACTATTTCGTTGTGCTATTTCGGTTAAACATGCAATAAACACGAATGGATTTTTGCTAGTGCTGGGTATTTTGGTTTAGTTTCAAATTTGGGTTTGGTTCGGTTAATCTCAAGATTTTACATTAGAGAATTTTCCGAATTTATCCTGTTACCCAAATTTTTCATCGCATTTCCTTATGAGACTTCTATTTAAAAATTGTTTTCCAATTTATAAATTTTTCGTTTCTATTCATACCCATTAATTCTCGTTTTAAATCTCAAAATGCTTAAAACTATTTTATTGTATAAACAAAAATAGACCAAATAGCTCAAACGAAAGGAAAAAACTTTACTATCTTTTTGAGCAACTTATTCATTTTTTGAAGATCTACAAAGAATTAGGATTGTAAATGTGGACACTCAATAGTATATAAAAACTTCAAATATGTTCTATTCTTCGCCAATAATTAATGTGTGTATCACTAAATCCATTATTTTATCTCCCACTACTTATAACTCTATTTCGTAATTTATATACATACTAGGTAGTTAGCCCGCACATATGTGCGAACGTAATTTTTTTATAAAAAAATAATTATTAATAATATATATCATTAATAATAAATAAGTGATTGGTCTGTTTACTAATATATTTGTAATAAATTTATAACCAAAAAATATATATATTTGTAATAAATTTTTGTTTGTGAAAATGTTTAAACAGATTTGAGAAATTGTATATAGTGAAAAATAAAACATACACAAAACTTAAAATATTTAAAAAAAAACTGTAAAATAAAATAAAATGATTCTTCGTTATTTTTTGTTTTCTACTTTTTATTTATATTTTTCATCTTTTTATAGTTTTTTATCTCATTCTGTCATTTTACATCTTATTTCTGGTTCATAATTCTCACTATATAATTGAAATACATTCACATATAATATAAACTTTTGATATTTATTTATAGTGAGACAAAATATAATGATAATAAAAGTGAAGAAATTCTCCTTCTAAAAACCTGATGGCGCAAAATTTCACACAAACAATTGAACTTATAAATATTTTGCTAAAAACTTACTTAAAATAAAATTTTAAAAATTTCTATCAAAAAACTGATTTTACAAATTTTATGCCAAATTCATGAATAAGTAACTTTCGCACCAAAAGAATTACATCAAAAAGATAATCCAAAAACATTTTATCAAAATTTCGATTTGTGAATATCCCGCCAAAAAGTGAATCCATAAAAAAAAATCTTACCAAAAACTTTACATTAAAAATGTGCTTCCAAACACTACCAGTAAATCTTACGTCAAAAAAACTTATTTAAAAATATAATTTCAAAAAACTTCTGTGAAAACCCGAGTTCAGAAACTTTCAGCCAAAAACATGAATTTGTAACTTTCCAACCAAAATATTTATTTTAGAGTATTTTAATTTGATTTTGTGAGTTTTTGCCAAATATTATGAATCCATAAATTTTATGTTAAAAATGTGATATCAAAAAATTTATGGCTAAATGTCGTCATAAATTTTCCGCTAACTACTTGAAATCCGTAAAAAAATTTGTCAAATTTTTGTGTCGAAATGTAATTTCAAATCTATTTGACAAAAATATAATTTCCAAATTTTTGTCAAAAATTTGAATACTTCAATTTTGTATCAAAATTTTAAAATCAAATTTTATTTATAAATTAAATAATGCCATGTCACAAGTCATGTGTACTAAAAACTGACATGTTACAATTACATCATCATTACACATCATCATTTACATATCACATTAAAATTGCTTAAACTAAACATAATAACCAATCAAATTAAAACAAATCAGCATTTTTCATTAAACTACATTCTCAATAGGTAGAAGATTATTTAATTAATGAAAACAAATTCTTTGCTTTTTTTGCCAGCATAAGAGAAAATATATTATGGTAAAGAAAAATAGTGAAGATTTTCGTTGTTGTTCACGAGGATACATTTGTTTTCCTTTTACTTTAAAAACAGCTTTATTTCGTAACTACTACATATACATATTTTTTAAGTAACAAGAAAAAAAATTAATTGTTTTTTTTACAGCATATATTTACTTTTCTTATTTTGATTTGTAAAATTGATAAACCAAAAGCTAAATAAAAACCGAACTGATTTCCTTTGTCACGCAGGAAATAAGATATATGCTGGAAAATAAAAGGAAAACAATGAAGAGTTTCCATTGTATCTCTCCTTCGTCAAAAACTCCGAAAAAAATCTGAACTTTCGATATCTTCTTCCTTTGAAGTGATTTCTTGTCATCAACAAGCTTACGTCTTGTTCGTGTTCTCTTTCATCAAAGGTATCTACTTTTCTTCTCTCAGCTGGATCTAAATCTTATTGGTTTTGTTTCGGATCCAGATTGTTTATGTTCGATTGATGGTCAGATTGTTTATGTTGGATTGATTGTTAGATTGTTTTAGCTCGATTGATGGTCAGAAGTTGATTGTTTCTGCCCGTGATAATCAAAGCATGAACTGTGTAAAGAGCTTGTTTGTTGTAGAGGGTCGATTCAGAAGATTGACTCTGTTAAATTTCAGGTGAAGTTCAATGGCTACTGCTGCCAAAAAGGCGGAAACTTGTGGTGGAGGATCAATAAACAGCCTACCAGATGAGGTTTTGGGTCAGATCCTGTCTTTTGTCCCTACGAAACTTGCTGCTTCCACATCAGTTCTCTCAAAGCGGTGGAGGAATCTGTTGCCACTGGCACAAAACCTTGATTTCGATGAGTCTGCCAACAGAGGATCAACAGCTAGTGGCCGTGGCTTCCTTGATTTCGTGGAGAGAACCCTTGTATCGATGGGTGATTCCCCCATCAAGACAGTCTCTTTGAGAGGGATATCATATATAGACGATTCTCGGTACAACCATCTGGTCGGCAATGTGCTGGGACGTGGAATCTTGGAACTACACTTGGCATCATCATGCATACGATATATAGAGCCTGAGTTCTTCTTCAGCAAGACATTGGTCAAACTCACTCTATCCGATGGATATAATGACCAAAACAAACCTTTTCCGGGCGGTGTGCTCTTCCCTGCACTCAAAAGTCTCTCTCTCATTCGGGTGTGGTTTGATGATTTTTTATATGGTGATGATTTGTATGAGTGCCTCCTCTCCAGCCCTTTGCTTGAGGAATTCAACATATGTGATGATGATCCTCTTCAATCGGGTTGTTTAAAACGTGTGCGGAGCTCATCAATCCAGAGAATATCCCTTTTTCACCGTTGTCATGATCGAGAAGCCTGCAGTTGGGTTTTATTTGAGACGCCCAATCTTGTGTACCTTGACTACTCTGGCTATGTGGCAGAAAATTATGTTGTTGAATTGGATTCGCTTGTCGAGGCTAGACTGGATCTTGTATTGTGGAAGCATAATGATTCTGTCCCACCACTGTATGATTCTACAACTTGGGGTGATGCTTGGGGTGCAGACAAACTCATTGCAGCGATTAGCAATGTTGTGACCCTTCACCTGTCTGCTGATTCTCTCGAGGTCACTTTCCTACTCCCTCTCTCTCTCCCTTTTCTTGTTCTTGTCAGTTTGTAGCCATGGCTTTGTTTGAACATCTGTTTGGTGCTATCATCAGGTGTTTTATTGCTGCTCTACATCTATGCCCGAGTTCAACAACCTCGCTAAGTTATCTTTTGAGAGCCACAAGGAACGCCACTGGCAAGTATTGCCACTTCTGCTCGAGAATGCTCCAAACCTAGAAACTCTAGTCATCAAGGTCCGAAAACTAACACGAAAGCAAAACTAACAAACAGATAATCTCTCTCTCTTATTCTTATAACTAGCTGTGCTGTTTGTTATTATGTTTTCAGGGTCTTGTGCACAAGATTACAAAGGGATGTGGGGATGTATGCGTTTGCGAACGTGTGACGAAGAAGAGGAAGAAGCAAAGTTGTTTATTGTCGTGTCAAGTGAAGGTTCTACAGATTTATGAGTACGGAGGAAGTTGTAGAGAGTTGAAACAGATGAGACATTTCATGGAGAATTTGAGGTGTCTTGAAGTTGTGAAAGTTAAGCTTCAGGTGGATATGCAAGAGAACTCGTCACTCACTGACAAACTACAGAAGCTCTTCCATACAGCTTCTTCCAAGTGCAAGATCCAATTCATTTGATTATCTTCCCATTTGAGTTGTTTTCTTTTCTTTGGATTCTCATTCTACTTTGATGAAAGATCAATGCTATGGAAGTTGTTTGATAAATGATTATTTAAAATCCTTGAAGACAGGTTATATTATTATTCATAAGCTTGATTTGAGATTTTGATCTTCATGTGCATATATTTTATTACAAATTACTTATACAAATTTACACAGTTTGTTTGTTTGATCATTTTCTCCTTGCACAACCCATCCATCAATGTACAGTAAAGTCTACCCAACAGGCAGATACTCTCTCAGGCATTCCCATGAAGAGCTCAATGGCTCGGTCACAAATCCCAGCTTGTAGAAATGGGAATTTCACAAAGTCAGATTGCAATTATAACAAGGCAACCGGTTTTGGAGGAACCGGGATTTATACCGGTATCGTCGCGGAAGTCCCGGTTCAGATACAAATTTCAGGGACGTTTTTCTTGGGCGATGCGTTAATTTTGTTGAAATCGATAGCCGAGAATACCAAGACAAGATCCAAGAAAGACTCATGATCATCACTTACCAAGGTTTTCAGGCAATTATGAATCAGAAAAGTTCAAGGGTATAGATCTCAAACAGCTCATATTATTTTCCTTTGGAAGAAACTATTTGACTAGTAAATTGAATGACTCCTCACTACTTCTGTATGTAAACAGATCTACCCGGAGTGGTGTTCATATTACCAGATTCCTACATTGATCCCCAGAACAAAGAGTATGGAGGTAAGCTGGAGTTTTCTTTATTTTTCCAAATTCGTCTCATTTTGATTATTGGAACTCTACAAAAAGATTTCTGCTTTCTTGTGTTTCAGGAGACAAATACGAGAACGGAGTAATCACACACAGGCCACCACCAATTCAGCATAACAGAAGACCCCGTGATAGGTTCAATTCAAGATTTGACCGTCAAGGAGGAGGAGGAGGCGGTCCTCAAAACTTCCAAAGAAACCCACAGTATGGTCAGCAACCGCCAATGCAAGGTGGTGGAGGTGGCTACGATGGTCCTCAGCAGAGCTATGAACCTCCAGGACAAGGAACTCAAGCTCCTCCACCTCCTCCACCGTTTCAGGGAGGTTACAACCAATCCCCGACGGGATCTCCACCGTTTCAGGGAGGTTACAATCAAGGCCAGGGAACTCAGGCGCCTCCTCCATACCAAGGCGGGCCCGGGAACTATAGCCAAGGGCCACAAGGAGGTTACAACCAAGGAGGTCCTAGGAATTACAGTCCACAGGGGAATGGAAACTCGAGTCCTTCGAGTTTTGGCAAAATCCAGTCAGGAGCATTATTGAGCCACAATGAGATATTGCTGTCCTTGTTTTTGAAATCAGGATGTCTTGGTTTCACCTATGCGGGAAAGACCGACAAGTCAAAAACTAGTAGAGAGAGACTTAGCTCACACTATATCAAAAATAACGCGAGTAAGAATGAAGATGAATTGTTAAGCACACAAGGAGAATATACCAATCCGTTGGCATTATTTTCGCGGTGACCCCACCATTTATTGGGGTTTTCAATCAGGTGATTCCAAGAATCAAAAGCTTCATCCATGACTATATCCTTCTTAACTCTAGCTACAAAGTCAAAAAAAGTATCAAACAATTAGCCAGAGAGCTGAAACAACAATGTATGCTAGAGAGTAGAGAGAGTTCATAATAAACACAATTATTTTAATGAAACCCATTACAAGAGATCATTAACTAGCTCCCTACGAGCCTTGCTCAGGCCTAACACAGGAGCCAGTTGATAACAACAACACACATCGTGAAAATTAAGAGGAGAAACTGAGTTTTGTACAAAGAAATTTAATATGACACATACCAGGCAGCTTCTTGACGCCACTTTCTTCCATCTCAGATGATGATGTAACCATAGGCGGGGAATCAAGACTCTGCACCAACACTTGATGTCAGCAAACCACAGTTAGGTTACAGTTATTCTGTGGAACTATTCATACAGGTTCAAGGGGGAAACAAAAACATATGAAAGAGATAACGAATCAACAGAAGTTATAAGTTATAACAAGCTTCTCATCACAAGTTGTATAACAAGCTTCTCAACACGGTTTGTTTGTTTGATCATTTCCTCCTTACACAACCCATCCATCAATGTACAATTAGTCTACCCTTCTGTAGTTTCTTTCTGAATGGCTTCTCCTGCTGGTTTCTTTAAACCAATTTAAATATTAAAATATGATTCCTCTGCACGATTTTTGGTTTTGGCTGTATCACTCTAAAACAATAACAAAGTACGTTAAGCAGCTTCTAGCTCTCTGCGGAATTAATCTCATCTTTTGGCTAACTTACATGTAGTCTTGTCTCTACATAGATACAGTCTGTGTAGTCCGCTTGTTTCTTAACTCCATATTTTCTAAGATACAGTCTGTGTAGTCCGCTTGTTTCTTAACTCCATTTTGAAGAAAAATATATTTTAAATTCTAGATTTACTTACGCGCATTTTTATTTTATATAAATAGAAAAAGAAATCAACTCATAAAGACTTAGAAATCTCTCTAATTCATGCAATGCATCATGTTAAATATAGCAATGATCGAGTAATGACAAGTGAAACTCCAGCATGTAAGTAACAGACAAAACTCCAGCGCATATTAATGCATCATGTACTAAGCATAGAGTGGAACGTAGTGACAGTAAGTGTTGCAGATTTCTCTGTTATGTCAGAATATATGCAACAAGTCCAATTTACAAGCAACGCTTAACACAAACATAATCTCTCATCACAAAGGTAAGCATCTCAAGGATCTGATTTACAAGCAAGCAACGCTCAAAACTTAAATCTCGGATCCGAAATCTCTTTTCTAAGCATACAACACGTAACACTTATAGAAAGTCAAATATATAACATTTGATCTGAAATGCAGCAAAACAATTAGAGAATCAACAAATTTTTGCTCCACCACGTTTTTTTGTTGTTGGTTTTTTGGATTGAGTCTCAATAAGATAAGAGATAAAAGAATAAAACAGAATTTGTCACAAACAAGTATTAATGAGAAAACTTAAATCAATGAAAATTTCATTTTACCTAATGTATCTAAGATCTTGGTCCTATTCAAGGGCCATGTGTGTCTGAGGTCAAAGCAAAGTAGACAAAAACCTTGACTGTTTCGCTGAAATTATGAAGTGATGCGAGAGAAAAAACTACAAAGTGCTTGCTAAGACGGTAAATGCAAAGAAGATGTATGTCTTTGTAGCCCACTCATAATGGGAAAGGACTGGTTTTACCCAGGGTGATAGTATTCACTCCGTTGAACCTTTCCTTGAGTTAATTCAAAAAGGGCTAATTAGATTTCAAGAAATTTATGAATGAAAACAAGATGATGATGTTCCCTAACATCAAAGCTAATACAGTATGGCTTTGATTAAAGCCAAGAAGAATATATACAGATCTTGATGAAGATAAGTAATTGTATCCTTCTCAGAAGACATGGGAAAAAATAATGGAGCCATCACTTATTTCCCTATAAAATATTGGATTAATTTTTAGAATCAAATCATGATCAGCAAAAGGAAGAAGAAATTTTTGTGTTAGAGAAGGCAAAACAAAAATTACTAAGAAGAGAGTCTTGTGTGGACCTTTACGAGACGTGGCATATATAGAGCATAGGCTTTGCTAATTTTAATGAGGTTAACAATTACTAAGAATTATTTAATTTGACGAATTAAATAAAAATTTGGGTTTTCATAAAGTCGTGGAGCTATGGTGTTGTAGAATATTTGTGGTCTTTTTGAGTTTTTCTACTGGTGCTTATGTTATGTTCAGTTGATTTTCATGCCACAAAGAAACCATATATAGAATGTTGAACAATCAAGTAAATTTTAAAACACAGCCAACAAATAATAATAATATTGAAAATCGGAGAAGATAAAGAGAATAACATACCTGAGAGACCAAGCTTGTCGAATTCTGTAGAAGAACACAATGAGTCAAGCGGAGATTGCTGCTATATTATTCAAATTGACATTTTAACATGAGTATGTAAATAGGAATACTGAACTTACCATTGTTGCTAATATACACAAAAGCTAAATTATAACATAAAATAATTAAGCAAGTAAAGGAACTTAGTTAGAGTTGAATTACATATCTGATCATCGCTAAGACGTCAGATCTTGTATTATATCGAAGCTTGAGTACCTCATATACATCATGCTGTCTTGGACTAGCAAGATATAGTGTTTTAAGCAATCATCGGATATGTTTAGAGTTTAAACAAGCCTTATGCAGAGAATGTTGAATAATATAACACGCAGTGTCAACGTAATAGATATAGAGTTTATGCAGAAACTTGAATTTCCCAAATCTTGGGACATAAATCGACGAGAAGTTAAGCAGATAATGATATTAATCAAGGTTGAATTTCCTCATCTACTCAAGATGTACCGTTTAACCAGAAACTTGAAATTTTTGAAATCGTTGTTGAAACATATACTTCATCTTCTGCATCTTCCCATCAATAAGCAGAGTATTGAATGGTTTTTCATGCTCTCCCAGCCCAGCAAGATCTATATTATTCATGCAGAAACTTGAATTTTAGAAAAATTTGGGACAATCTATGAATGTTGTATCATGTTGTCAACCATACCTTAATGCGAAAGAAACTTGAATTTTTACAATCCTGAGACACCACCATAAAGGTATATATCTATCAATATTATGCAGAACATTGAATGGTTTATCATGTTGTCCTAGCGCAAACAAGAATTTATCATTTGTGTTGCAGTAAATTTAAATTATAGAAATCTCGAAACTGTTTTGTAACGATCGATCTCAATACACATTAAGCCAAAAAGAGTTTATCATGTATATCCAGATATGTCAGCGTCACATTTCAAATTAAAGGAGAAATTAAAATCCTTGGTTTTCTTGATGAATCCTAAGAATCAAGAAACGCTCTCACAACGTCGACGATTGGAGCCATACAGATCGGACATTTCTTACTGCTCCATTGCAATTCATGAGCACATTTAAGGCACGTGCACATATGTCCACACCTGCAGAGAAAATCAAGGCCGCCAGTTATTATTATTTTAGCGTTTGGGATTTGGAATCACGATTTAGCAAACGCACGTACCTATACAGGAGCGAGTCAACAGGCAGCTCTAAGCAAACGCAACACTTGCGTTTCAGAGGATCTTTATTTGTATCTACTCGTTGTTCTGCAGATGAGCCTAAAAGGTAAATTCATTAGCTTAGTTCGATTTCTTGATTTTTTTTTTTTTAAAACGCTAATGTATGATGATAATAAAACTGACCAGAACGAGAATGATCTTGCGTTAAAGATTTCTGGAAATGAAGTTGCATCTCTACGCATGATTTAACCGAATTTCGTAGCTCGAGCACTTCTCGTTGAAGTTGCTCCATCTGTCCCCTGAGATCACTTATCATCTGCATTTCCTGCGTCTGTTAGGTTAAGATCTTCGTTTACTTCACCGACACGTAACCTTACTAGACGAAAAAACAGACCAAAAACAAGACCAAAACTCACTGATTGATTTGTTGGGATTGAAGGCTCAGGAAGAGAAAAAGACGTTGTCAGTTCGTGATCTTTGTCAATGTCTTGATCCCTGAAACTCCATGCTGATGATTGGCTGCAACCGTCGCTTGCAGCTCCAAGATTTGTCTTCTCTGGTTCTTCCTCTGTTTCATTATCTTCTTGGTTCCTTGCTGGAGACTCCTCAACCCACTCTTCTTCTTCTTCTTCTCCATCTTCATCATCGTCTTCTTTTTTCTTGATTGGTACGCCTAAGTGAGTTTGCACGCGAGTGATCATTAAATTATCGATCTTTTGTCGCAGTTCGCTTGTCAAAAAGTTGGAAACTGTTTGGCTGCACACCGATACGCAAATAACATTACAATCTCAAAAGCTAAGTGAATATTTCAAATGAGTTTTATGAATGATCATATATTACCTCTCAATGAGGTTGCAAATATCTTTTTTCTCTGATTCAGTGTTGAGAACCTCTAGATACCTTTCTTTCCTTAAATCTTCCCAGTAACTTCGAGGCCTCGATATCTCGTAAATCCAATCAGACATATTTTCTCCACTGTAATGATCATAATCTCCATATTCATCTTCTTCTTCTTCCATTTCATTTTCATCATTTACAAACTCTATTGCTGCTTCATTCAAGCTGTCTCCTTTTTCTCCGCGTTCTTCCTTATTGGTTTCTTCATCTTCTAATTCTCTCATGCCATTTTCTTCATCTGGATTTCGCAGAGTCGACATTTTTTCATCCTGTTGTGAAGAATTCTTCTCTTTAGCCCTTTCTCGTGTGCCATGACCCGCAGATTCTTGTGCTGGTGTAACTTCTAGAGGATTCATGTTTTTCACCTCAATAATATCTTTGGACTTGGTTTCTACAGAAGCAAACTCTTCCTCTTTCTTTCTTCTTCCTTTCTCTTCAGACTCACTCCGTGTAGTTTCTCTTTTATCCTTCATTTCTTGAGCACCAACAACATTCTCCACTACTGTTTCCTTTGAAGTAGCAAGACTTCTCTCTGCAGTTTCAACATTACTGATTCTCCTTGAAGCTTCTTGCAACACTTGATTTGCCTCGGTATTAGCTTTGCCTTCGGTCTTACCTTTACCTTTCTCCGTAACTCTTCTCCTGTTCTTCTTCTCCTTGGAGTTCCACAGATTCACCTTCTCAGCTATTCCCATTCCTTCTACACTTTCCTCCATTTCTCGCCTCTCGCCTCTCCCTTCTCTATTTTCCTTCTCCGTAGGTTTCTTTAAACCATTCTTGTTGTTTCTAGTTTCACTCAAATCAGTTTTTGCCGCTGTCTCCTTCAGTTCTTGAGCAGCAACTTGTTGAGTAGTAATGCTTCTTTCCGCACTTTCGACATTAATGATTCTTCTTGTAGCTTCTTCCAATACATCAATTTTCTCAACTCTCTCAGCATTGGCGTTGCTTTCAGTTTTGCCTTTCGCCATTCCTCTTCTCCTATTCAGTTTCTCCTCTGAGTTCCATGGATTCATCTTCTCAGCTAGTCCAACCAAAGCATTCCCTTCTACAATTTCCTTAACGATTGCTTTCTCCCTAGCGTCTCCCTTTTCGCCTCTCCCTTCTGTAGTTTCTTTCTGAATGGCTTCTCCTCCTGGTTTCTTTAAACCACTCTTATTCTCTGCACTCTCACTCAGAACAGCTTTCTTGGCGGTTTCCTTAGCGACAGCTTTCTCCTTTGTTTCTCCCATTTCGCCTCTCCTTTCTGCATTTTCCTTCTTAGTAGCTTCTCCTGTAGATTTCTTTAATCCATTCTTATTTCCTACAGTTTCACTCAAGACAGCTTTCTTCGTGGTCTCCACGGCAGATATCACCTCCTTTACATCACTCTTCTCCACTGTTTCCTCCAAAACTTTCTTTTCAGAAGCCTTGTGAGTATCTTTAGCCAGAGTCCGACCCCAAGAAGACACACCGGTCTCAATGTTGTCAGAACTTGTCTTATATTTCTCCCTGCATTTCATTTCATTTCATTTACTTCACAAGTCACAGTTCAACATCTTCACAAGATCACGGACAAATTACAAGAACATAAACTTCGGTACTTACCTGAGAAGATGCATTACACCAGACCCTCGTGGAGACCGGTTTAAATCAGATCCTGATCGATGTTTATCTTGAATCGCAATGCACCTTTCATAACACCGAATCCTAAGCGTCGACTAAAACATAAACAAAACAGCATAAAAACAAAAACGTTACCCTAATTAAACCCTAAAATACTAACACCAGTCTTAGACGAAATAGTAAGCAAATTATATATTACCTGAATCCGTCTGCGATGCGTGAACTTGGAAACACTATGGCGATCTGATAAAGAAGCCAGCTCCTTTTCTCGATCACGCGTCATCTGAACCAATAAATCCGCAAATGCTTGTCTCCCTCTTATTCTTGGTGAACAAGCAACCTGAGGAAAACATTTAGTTTCTGTCTGAACTTCTTTGCTATTGTCGTTGCCGCTGCTTCCGTTGTCGTTATTGCTCGATGTTTCTGGGTCGCTGCTTAGTTTTCGGATTATATCCATAACTCTTACACCTTCTCTCTCTTTATCTCCAGAATCAGGAGGTGGAGGAGGAACGAATTGTATATCACACTCCATCTTTTCTTCTGCCTCCTCATTGTTTCCTTCTTCGATCGTTTGAATCAAATCTGCAGATTCTTTGACGGATTCTTCGTTGAGGGACTCCGAATTCTCTAGAACGTTTGATCCAGAAGAACTCGTTCTGCTATCAATCTGGGACGATTGGGATTGGTTCGAGCTCGGTGGTTGCTGCGTTGTCCTCGCCTCCCATATCTGAACCAGAGAAGAAGCCGCCATGGTTTCCTTCCTGGACGAGTTCTTATCGGGTTGACCCGGATTCGGAAAATTTGGATCCGGGTCGGATCCTAAAGAAGACGACGAGGGGACTTCGTGCCGAGATTCCTCTGTTTTCGATAACAGATGATCGGAAGAACATTCAGGAATAGCTTTGGTGGAATCATCACCATGGACACCAGAGACGCTACAGTTTTCGAGATGATCTCTGACAAAAACATTGAGATTCTTCTCGAAAGCAACGTGTAGGTTTCGGACATTGTTGTTGTTCTTGTTCTTCTTCTTGTTGTTGTCTCCTCGGATGCATTTCTCGTGAGGGTTCAATGCGCAATTAAAAGTCTGGCATGAAGACATTTCTACCTCAGAGGACGCCATTTCCATTCAACACCCAAATCGAAAAAAACACAAATCCTTTTTAATCGGATCTTTAGTTTCAATATTTAATACTCTGTTTCTTACCTCTTGACCCCTTCTGGGGAAGGAGAACAAGAGCATGGAAACAGATAAAATTCCATTTGATGACGGGGTTTTTTGGAACACGAACACGAAAGAATTTGTTTTTCTGATTCAAATAAAAGAGGAAAGCGAAGAGACAAAACAGAGGAACACGAAGAGACGGAGCCCGAAACAGAGCAATGGAGAAAATGCGAGAAAAAAACAAAAGTCTTACTGTTTTTCTCTATTCTTTTCTTTTTTCTCAATTTTTTTTATAGATTTGATCTTATTATCATCCACCAAAATTATTTAGGAAAATGAAATTACCTTTGGGAGAGAAAGAAATAATCTAAAGATAGATTAGTCGATTCGTGTAGATATAGTTGTAACTTTAAAACCAAAAAAAAAAAATGGTTTTAGGGTGAAGAAGAGAGACAGTGTCAAAGAAAGAGGGAGAGCATCATTATGGCATTCTCTAAACGGGAGTTGACTCGTTAAATTAATACATGAATATGCCTCTCTTTTTTTTTTTTCAAATTCAATGTAAACATTAGAGGCACTTCTATATTTTCCCTCTTTAGCTCTGATGGATTTGAACAAAGTTAATTAATATTAATTATTAGTAAATCTAGTGTGATTACATTACATTTTTAGAATTTGGTGTTATCTAGAAGATTTTTAGTTATTTATTTAAAACTAACTAATTAAGTATATATTGTTGAAAGAATTGAAGTAAATTTTAATAGATTTTATGTGAAATTTTTATTCCAACTCGGCATTAATTATATATATGCAACAAAATCTGAGGCATTATCCCATGATTAACATATGCTATTTTTTTAATAAATTTATGAATTATCAAATTAATTTCCATTTACTGGTAAACTCGAAGGAATTCATGTATAGTCAAATATTCTGTTTGTTTCTAAAAGAAAATAAATACTAATTGGTACAGTAATTGCTTAAATATGGTAAAACAATTTTTGTATAGTCTCGTTGACTAAAGTGACTGTGAAAATTAAGAAACTGATAGAAAACAAAACTTAAGAGTTCAAACTCTGTTCCAATTAAAAATCAGTTAAACTAATGTAATTTTTGCTATAAAAAAAACATGTATGTTGCCGTTGCTAAACTTTATAAGATAATTCACCCAAGTTTTAGCACTTGGTATACTTTTTTTAATTGTTGCTAATTATTTTCAATTGCTAAAATAGTTTTCTAACTGTTTCTTTTTAAGTCTATATAAACTTGCTAACATACATATTCAATACTTAAAGGGTTGCCTAAACCATATATATGTATAATGACCTTAAGATTCATTTCTTAATATGACTAAAAGTATTCAAACCTTTTTCAAATGACTAGAAAATGATAATTTCTTATATTTTTTGAGTTTAAGGCCCTTGGGCTCCAATCAGATTTCTGTTAGGCGAAGCCCATTTGAACACAGAATTGAAAAGAAAAAAAAAAAGAAGGAGAGACATTCGTTCACACAAAACCGGAGATCGGAGACTCGTCTACTAAAACAAAAAAATCCAACAAATTTCAGAAGATTCAAAGAAGGAACGATGCCTCTGAGTGCGACAATGGTCGGAGCTTTGCTGGGTCTCGGTACCCAGATGTACTCCAACGCTCTCCGCAAGCTCCCATATATGCGCCGTAAGTCCACCAATCAAAATGGATCACGAATCAAAATCGAACAACCCTAATTTTGCTTTTTTATTTCGTTGTGTTGATTGATAAATACTACGATTCCGTTTCTCTGGGTCTCGGGTTCTGTTTTTTTTTTGTAAAATTGGATGCTGAAAATGTGTAGATCCGTGGGAGCATGTGGTTGGTATGGGACTTGGTGCTGTGTTCGCGAACCAGCTTGTGAAATGGGATGTGAAGCTTAAGGAAGATCTCGATGTGATGCTCAACAAGGCCAGAGCTGCCAATGAGCGCCGTTACTTTGGTATATCTAATCTATTCTCTTCTTTTTCTTCTTCTTCTTTTCAGCTTCTTATAGCCAAGATAGAGTCTTTGGATCATGGTGGAAAGATAGACTCTTTGGATTATTTCTTTGGTTCTAGTGTTAGATACACTGCAACTTGCAAGTAATACTATTGCATACACAGAAACTAGATTCGAATTTGAAGGATGTATCTAGTTGTAGATTGTTCAGTAGAGTTCTATGGGTAACCAATTCATGTTGAAATCCCTACTTGTTGTTCGTGAGAGTCTACAGAATTTGATGTATTACATTTCTTGTTTTGTTGGGTTTAAGTAAAATTTGCATACTTATTGACCTTCTACTTATATGGCTGGGAATATTCAAACTTTTCTTTTGTTTTTGTTGTAATGCAGATGAAGATCGGGATTAGTTAGTGAGTGATCTTTGAAGTCTTCCTCTGGAGTCATCTCAAGTGCTTGTTTTGTTTGATTTTCTATGTAAAAGCTTTTCTTCTCCTTTTTCTTAGAGAGCTGGTTCTCTTTTGCTTCGGCAATGGAGTTCTTTTCATTCGGTGTTTCCGTTTGTGAACCTAAAGATATGTGTTTTCGCAATCTGAATCATTTGGATCTGTTTGTACCTGGTTAATAATTTCGAATGAGAAACCTTTTTATGCTTTCACGGTTCACAACTACTTCTTTTGCTAGATTGAAAATTTCAAAAACTCAGATTTATAATTTGGCTCAAGTTGCATAGGAAAGCAATCTTGATTTCGTGACTCTCTAGTAGCCAATACATATATGCAAATGTGCAGGCAAAACAAGAAGTGTTTGTGAAATTGCCACTCTATACAAAGCAGATAAATGCAGAATTTCAAAGTTTGCAGTTTCATGTCTTCAAAATCACTTGCAGGCGCCAGTTTTTTACAGCTTCTTATAGCCGGCCGTTCTATTGTTAAAGACATGGAGAAGGCTATCACATGCTTGTCTAGAAGATGGTCTCTCCTGAGGAGAAGTTTTTGTGCACTGAAGTGCAATCTCAAGCACCTGATAAGCAGCGTCTTCTTCAAATGGCATTAGCGGCTTAAGCTTTGGATCTATGAGCTTCTCTCTTGCGGAACCAGCTATCTCAAGATGTGTTTCAACCCATCTCACCATATCCATATCTGCGCCAAACACCGACTCCGTTGGCATTTTCCCGGACACAATCTCCATCAACACTATCCCCATACTGTAAACATCGCTCTTCTCTGTCGCCTTCAGCGAGTAAGCATACTCTACAAACACAGTTTCAAATCTTTAGATTTTAAGCAGAGAATATGCAATAGCTAGGAAACTTGAGAAGAAGATGAGTAAGTACCTGGAGCAATGTAGCCGTAAGAGCCAGCAAACCAGGTGTTTGACTCTGTGTTGGTATCATAGTTCTCAGTTAAGACCTTGGCCAGACCGAAATCTCCTAAATGTGCTTCCATGTTGGAATCAAGGAGCACGTTACTGGATTTGATATCACGGTGAACGATTGGAGGAACACAGTCATGATGAAGGTACTCTACTCCTTGAGCCAATCCCACTGCTATTCTCAATCTTGCTTCCCAGTCCAAAAGCTTCTTCTTCTTCTCGATCACAGGATTCTCCTCATGAAACCAATCCCAGACGCTTCCGTTCTTCATGTACTCATATATCAACAGATTCAGTCCTTCTGACTTGCTGCTGCAGTAACCCATCAGCTTAACAAGATGCCTATGCCTGATTCTTCCAAGCGTCTTAACTTCTCTGCTGAAGCTCTTGTTCGACATGAGATCGTCTTTCCAGAGAATCTTTTTCACAGCAACAGTCTCACCACTCTCGAGCTCCGCCTTGTAAACCTTCCCAGAGCCTCCTGATCCAATCATGAACTCCTCGCTGAGATTATGCGTGGCTTCCATAATGTCCTCCCATCTGATATCTGACTTTGAGGCTCCTGTTCGAAAGAGAGGCTTGTGTGTGGCTTGTGAAGAAGAGCTTGATGATGAGTACGCAGTGCTTCCGTCACGGACTTTCTTGAAGAAATCATGCCTCTGTTTGAAGAAGAGAGCGATTACAAGTATCATCAAAGCAATCGCTGCCAATGCTGAGATTGCTGATATTATAACGACTGATTTGGCACTAAGACCCTGTTGCTTACTGTCTCTTCCAGCTCTGTTGCACTGACTAAGAGGACTTCCACAGAGACCTGTGTTGCCTACAAAGGAATCAGCTGGCCATCTTGAGAACTGTTTCTTGAGTTTGCCTCCAAGGTTGTTGAAAGAGAGATTGAGATAGCCTAAACTCTTCATATCCCCTACCGCGCTAGGAACTTCCCCAGTCAGCTGATTGTGAGACAGATCAAGGGTTTCAAGCTTGAGTAATGTCCCAATTGTAGAAGGTATATGTCCGGTAAAGTTATTGTAGCTGAGGTCTAAAGCACTTTGAAGATCCTGAAGCTGTCCAATCTCAACTGGGATTTCTCCGGTGAAGCCGTTTCTTGATAACCGAAGCTCGTACAGCTTGCTAAGCTTTCCCGTAGCTTGAGGAAGTGAACCTGAAAGCTGGTTCTTATCGAGGTTAAGGACGTTGAGAGCTCCCAAGTTACCAATCTCTTGCGGGATCGACCCGTTGAGAGAATTGCCATCAAGAGATAACACAAGCAGCTTTGTACAATTGAACAGCTCAGCAGGTAAAGACCCATCGAACTGATTAGAAGAAAGCTTGAGCTCTCCCAACTGTGAAAGCTTTCCAAGCCATGGAGGTATGGGCCCTGAAAGAAAGTTGTTGTTGAGATCGACGTGCGTCAGTTTCTTGCACAAGACGAGCTGTAGCGGAATGGTTCCTGTGAGAGAGTTGCTTGAGATATCCAACAGAGACAACTCGCGGATTTTCCCCAACGTCCAAGGGATTCTTCCTGTGAATTGATTCTTCCCTAATCTGAGACGATCGAGATTTGGAGAGTTTCCTAGCTGGAGAGGGATTTCATCTTCAAACTCGTTGTTGGTGACATCGAACGAAAGAAACGAGCTCGAGCCACACAGTGGAAGGATCGTACCGTTGAGCTTGTTGTGAGAGAGATTGATTCTTGTGAGGTTCCTTAGATTAATGAGTGAATCAGGAAGATTTCCTTGGAGAGAGTTGTTGTAAAGCATGAACTGTTCCAATTCTTTTAAGAACGCAAAGGACGAAGGAATCGATCCCGAGAGCTGATTGTCCGCCAAATCCAAGATATTCAGTTGGTGACAGTTACCCAAAGTGGCGGGAAGTCCACCCACGAGCTCGTTCTGTCTCAAGTGAAGCAGATTAAGGTCCTTTAATCTTCCTATCGAAGGAGGAATCTCTCCTTGGAAATGATTCCCGAACAGATCGACCATCTTCAGGTTTGTGCAGTTTCCAATCTCTTTTGGGATTTCCCCTGTGAAACGATTCTCGTACAGAAACAGAACTTCTAGTTTCTTCAGCAAGCTAAGTTCCTTCGGTAACTTGCCTTCCAAGTTATTGTGATACAACACAAGCCATTGAAGATTGGTGAGGTTTGATATGGAAGGAGATAACTCACCCTCCAAGGTATTGTTGTGGAGATAGAGATCCGTGAGTTCGACTAGCTGGAATAACGCCTCGGGGATTGAACCAACGAGCGAATTGTTCGACAAATCGAGCTGTTTAAGCGACTGACATTTGCTAATTTCCACAGGGATTTCACCTGAAAGCTGAGTTCCGGACAGAAACAATTGCTCCAGGTTTGTGTTGTTCGAACATATACTCTTCGACAGAGAACCAGAGAGACGGTTGTTTGCTAAAACCATATCAAGAAGCTGACTCATGTTCCATAGTTCTTCAGGAATCTCTCCGGTAAGATTATTCGCCGATAAATCAAGTGTTTGAAGATTTCTCAGGTTGACCAGAGTTTTGGGGATAAGACCTTGAAGCTGGTTCCCCATCAAGTTAAGGTACTCGAGCTGGCTCAGTTCACCGAGTTGACTCGGTATCTCTCCGGAGAGACTGTTGCTTGCAAGATTGAGTATCTCGAGGTTTTCAAGCCGCCCCAACTCCGCCGGTATCGTCCCGTTGAGTCTGTTCTCCGCTGCGGTGAGCACTGTGAGATCGGAGCAGTTCCCTAAGTCCGCCGGAATGGGTCCTTCGAGATTGTTATCCTGAAGTATCAGTGATCGAACTCGGACGAGTCTACCGAGCTGACTCGGTATGGGACCGGTGAGTCTGCACGAGGCGAGTGCGAGCATCTGGAGATTGACGAGATTCCCCAACGTCTCCGGGATGTCACCGACGAGCTCATTGTCTCCGATTCTGAGTGAGCGTAGGTTGACGAGCGAGCCGAGTTGACTCGGAATCTCGCCGGTGAGTTGGTTAGAAAAGAGAAAGAGAGACTCCAAGGAAGAAAGGTTGGAGAGAGCAGTTGGGATGGGACCCACAAGATTGTTGGAAGATAGATCAAGGTGGATTAGGTTGTCAAACCGGCCAAACGAAGGAGAAATGGAACCGGTTATCCCTAAACCGGAGAGGTTTAGACCAACAACGCGAAATAAACCGGCATCGTCGCATGTGACACCGGTCCAAGAACAGAAATTGATGTTAACAGAGTTCCATTGTGGGAGAAGATCGTCTTCTTCTGGATTCGTAACGAAAGATTTCTTCACCTCGAGAAGATTCTGAAGATCTCCGGTAGGACCGGTTTGACCCGAAATCGAACCGAGCGAAGAACAGAGGACGAACAGGACAAGAAGAAGAAGAGTACGAAGAGACTGCATGTTTCTCTTCTTTCTTGTAGTAAGAAAAAAATCAATGGCTGGCTTTTTACAATGGCAAAGAATCTTTATGGCATTATTTGATTTTTGTTGCAGAGACTGATGAACGATGATTGGTCATCACAACGGTGCATAGGGACTCCTTCTTTCTCTCTCTCTTTCTATGTATAAATGTAGATAACAAAAGCTTTGGAAATTAATGTGATCACTCGAGTTTCTCTCTCTTCTGTGTTTTTTTTCCTTTCTCTTTCACTGTTTTATTGAGATAGAGAGAGAAAGAGTTAATGAAGAGATGGGGCAATGTAAGACAGAGAGAGAGGTCAGAGGAGAGAGATGGGAAAATGGAATGAGAAGGCTCTTCCTATATAAATGTTGGAGTTGCTTTTATCAATGGCGGCAAAGGTCAACGGTCATACCAATTTATATACACATATATGTGTGTGTACGTGATTGTCTGTGTATACATGTTACATAGTATTACACTATGTTACAGTTAAGCTGTGCCTAAAAACTTTGACAAAACATTAGTCTTTCTTATAAATCAGTCAGAATATTACAAATTAATATGTGTATCTTTTTCCCCCTTTTGTGATGTCCATTATAATCAATTCATATGGAACTTGTTAAATTATAAGCTTAGCTAATACACCATAATCAGATATTTTGTCATTTTATATAACTTATCAATTTTCATAAAATTATACATGTCGATTAGTTACTACAAATTTTACTTAGTATATTGAAAATCTAATATATTCATCAAAGTTTTGTCTAACTTAATTATATTGTATTTAAGCGAAATCGTGACTTATGAATTATGAGGATTGACCAGAAAAAAAGATTATACCTAAACTTTTTTGTTGGTTGAATATATTGGAATGCAAAGTGGATTTAGAATAAATATTTACAAATCTCTTAATATGAATAAATTCTTGCAAAGTGAGGTTAAGAACCTATTAATGTATTATGCAAAGTTGGTACAAAAAAATTACAGCGAATTTTTTTTCAATACTTCAATATAGAAGTTATTAAGCTGTTTTTCAACAAACAACATAAAAAAAGTAAAATATGAAAAAACTAACTACATTTTTTGAATTTAAAGTCTGTTTACAATTAAATAGAAACTAAACAAGTATATATAAGAAATGCAAAGTATCAATCTTCTAGATGATTCCATCACCTCCAGGTGCTCTAACACAAAATAGTTTTGGATAAGTAAAAATAAGAACTGACATAATGATATAACATATATTTTTTCCAAATGGAAGGGCAAATTCTGTTTATTAAATGTGATTTGTGGTGGCTGATTACTATTTCAAGTTTTTGATTAAAAGTATGAAAATAGATAGAAGAAAAGAGCGGTTTCTCTTTTTTGGAACTACAGATTTAATAAAAGAGTGGTTTTGAAATCATATACTATTGTAGTTAAAGTTTAGAAATATATTTACGTCATTTCATGTCACAAATATCACTACTCAGAATATCTCTCAACTGATCTACGCGATTTCTACTTTCTTCTTACATAAGACGCAATCATTTGATTATATCAAAACCTAATTTCGAAAGAAGTTTTATTTGCTGTTACTTGTCAAGAAGTTAAGTTGTGTAAGTAATGTTAAACGATATAAAGGAACAATGATTTTTTTTTCCAAAAAAATGGTGATGCATGGCTTTGACCTTGGCCAAGGAAAAAGAGTGGTTGAGACAATGACTTGGTTGAAGGATATTTTTTTGCTTTGGTTTAGTGTGTTAGCTTCTCATCACTTCGACCCTTTCAAGATAAAGAAAGTAGTTTGTGTTCCCATTTTTTTTATCTTTATATATTTACGAATGCACATTACGTCGTTATATTGTATGTATATTATTACCGAGTCAAATAAGATTGATATCATCAATTTTGGTGATATTATCCCAAATTATTTTCATCTAAATAAAGAACTAACTCGTGAATTTTGAACATTTCCTCGTGTTCGTACGAGATATCATCCCTTTTCGTTAATGTTTTTCTTTTTTTTTTCTTTTGGCTCCTTACACAATTGGGGTTACTTGTAGTCGTAGATATAATATTGTTGTCGTTTAGAATCTAGCTTGAATTTAATCACCCCTATATATCTAATTATGAATGAAAAATGGAATAATACATCGAGAACTTTACGTCATTTTCAAATATTATATACATTTTGGTTGACTGTGATACAAGATCGAATCAAGTTTACGTACAACAACTTGTTCGATAATTGAACGGGAGAAAATTTATAATTAAAATGTGATTAATCTATTGAACAAGATTCTAAATCCAAATGGATGAGACAAAGGAATTATATTTGATCCACCAAAAAGGTCAAGATTCTTAATTTTATATTCTTTTTCTATTGTTTGGCTGATTATACTCATTTTGTTCTTAAATTCAACGTAATAATATATTAAGCTTCCCATTTCATTATGCATGACAAGAATTGTATAACACATAGTTGTTTACTTCAAGGATACGATATTCAAAATATCGAAGATATAATAAGATAAGATAAATAATTAATAAGAACCATGTTAGTCAATATATCATATAAGTAGCCAAATGTATAAAATGGATTGCTTATTGTTCTGTATAACTCAGGGTAGGTTTGTTTGGTTGGGACCGTAAATTTTTTTCTGTAAAGAGTAAAACAGTAAACAAAGAGTAGAAGAAAAGGAATATGATTTGGTTGATTACTAATCTAGTCACAAGATTACTTAATTTAAGTGTAATCCATTCAAACTGAGCATCATGCCACTTTTACAACATACATTTTTAACCAGCAACAAATTTTAATAACGGCGTAAGGGACCCAATTACCCTCAAACATGTGAGACTAATAATACTTGGGACTAAAAACATGAAATTTACAAAGGAACAGTACACTGAACAAAAGCAATTAATCAGCCAATAATTAAAGATTAGTTTCAATCTGAGTCTTAAAGTAGTCCCACCAAGTGGATTTTACTTGTAACCACCATTTTCAAGATCAGAAAAAGCCAATGCATAGTTCCAAAGCGTTTGTTGGCTAATCAAACCCATTAAGACAGCAAATAAAGAAGAAATTATGATTGGTTTGCGGTTGCAATTAAAACAAACTAATACATTTAGTCTAACTGTTCCATAATCCATAGACATGCATAAGCTTTACACTTAACACAAACAGAACATTTCTATTCCATGGTGCAGTTTCTAAGTAGCTCAAAGGGAGTGATGACCAAGTACGAATCTTAGCTCTAAACCCAAACGATAATGATCAAAACAGTAACCGTTCTTGATAGATGTCAAGTGCCTTGATGATCTTTCCAATGAACATCTTCCTATGCATCCTATACTTAACAGCTGTCGCAAATGTTGTCCTTGCTTCTGACATTGAATCTGTAACACGAAATAAAACGAGAGAAGCTAAAGTTTTATATATCTCTATGCGACGAATCGTCAGTGTTATATATCAATAACATTACCAAAAAAATATATCAATAATGGTTATAATATATACCTAGCATTTTCTGGTCTTGCTCTGAAGTTGTGGGATATGCCGCAAGCATCTTGCGACACTCATCTTGCAACTCTTTGACCGCTTTTCTCTCTGCACTCGGAATCGGAGGGAGATCTATGTCTGACCAAGTAGGCAATGTTCTTGCTGCTGCTATAACTGCTCCATCAACAAAGGTATCACCTCCAGATAACTCACCTGCCACAGATTTAAACTTTGTAAGTATTATCAACAACATCGTCGCTGAATTTTCTCTAAATATAGAGTGGAGACGCAGGAAAATGAACTTACTATCATGGTAATATTCTTCGGGAAGGCCAAAAATATTGAAGACAGATAAAAATGAGTTTAAATGGATGCGAGAATCTCCAGAGAATGGTATAGCATCCCATGGATTCTGCAGCAGACACAACACAATTTCATAAACATGCACACTTGCAAAGTACCATTTCCTGGCTAAACCAAATGTGTTGCAGTAAAAAAGAATTACCACAGGAGTTGAGAAGCCGTATCTTTCCATAAGCATGTTGTTTTTGTGGCCAGGCATGTAGTTAATCGTCATCTGCCAAAAAAATCACTATTAAGATAGTGATTGTTGTGAAGTGAATCTGAACATATGCTTATTGAACACACGAGTCACTTACCTCTTCGCCTTTCTTAATAGCTTGACCAGCATTTGACATAACCTCAAGCATTCTATCTTTAGGACGCCAATGTAGGAAACAGTTTGGTTCGAAGGAGTGATTTAGCATGTCTGCAGAGAAGACATGATGAAACCACTACTAATATGTAGATTTCCACTGTAAAACTAATAAAATATTGCTTACCAGCATAAGGAATCATCATGTTTAAATCTTGAACCAAAGCGCCGACCCTAGTTTTCATACTAATGCATCGTGTCTGTGCGATACTAACCGCCCATATGAATCTTTCTGGATCTTCCGCAAGCCTTTTGATTTTGAGAGGAACTCCTACATGCTAAGTTAAGATGCAATATGTCAATGAAAAGAAATGAAAAAAACAGCCACAACACAAATGTTAGAAGTATGTTACCCAATTCTTTTCCCAAAATTCAATGACTCGTTTCTGTTGTTTTCTAATAGTTGAAACCAGATCAGGATCTTGAAGCTCCGAAAGGTCCTCCTATAACAAAAAAAAAAACAGAATACATCAAGCATACATCAGTGGACTGAATCAAACGATCACTAGTTTTAACAGAGAACTGTAACTGTAACACCGAGAAATAAATGTGCTAGGACTTCCAATGAAAATCAATTCACCTCTGTAGCTAGAAGCAAGCTGCTGCACTCATCAGCAGCAGGAAGGAAATCGCCATAGAGTCGCCAAAAGTGATCTTCCCGATCAAAAGAGAATAACAGAAGACACGCTAATCTGAGATCCCAATCGATCTGTAACGTCAAACACATATTGCATTCTTAAAACTGAAACAATCTGGTAAAGATGAGAGCTTTTACTTTTACAGAACAGAGCCCC